AAATCAAATAAATCTGATTGATTTAAAATCTTCTTCATAATTTCATTCTGTTCATTGGGAAGATGATTCATCGAAAATCTGAATGATTTGTTATCATTGATGATAGCATGTGTATCCAAACAATGTTGAATAATGACACCATTTGCATTAAGATAGATTGCTGTTCGAAGAGTTTGATGTTTTCTCATAATACATTGAAAGGCATGTTGTAACCGTGAAATAGATATATGATCATTTGTAGATGAAATTCGATACATTAATGCAATAATATACATGTTGTTACTATTATTATCTGTTGATGAAAATCGAATTTGTTCATCTAAATAGACTCGTTCTTGTGCAAGTGATGCTCTAGCTACAATGAGAAAGAAGCAGATGAATATGTACTTGATGGTAATATCTTAGTAGAAGCTGTGTTGCTTACCTTGAATGATATATAATGACGACCAATGATAATCATTGATATTCTTTGTCATATTAATAGTTTGATGAATGAGTTGAGCATGATCAATAATTGTTGGATGCTGAAATAAGTGAGTAATGGAAAGAGCATTTGTTTCTAAATGAAACTCGATCTTGTATCGATGAAAAAGTTGCATCATGATTAATGAATGACCACCGATAGTAAAGATATTTGTATCAACTGAGATTTGATTTTGTTTGAATACCTCACACCAAATATGATGAATGCTAACTTCAATATCATTTGTTGGTAGTAGTAGTTCTAAACTGTTTGTGAGATGTGCGGATGAGAAGTGAGGCGGTGGAAGAAGTTTTCGATCTATTTTTCCATTTTGATTCAAAGGTAATTTATCAAGCATAATGAATATGGATGGAATCATATGTGGTGGAAGATGAGATTGACAATGTTCACGCAATTCCTGTTCATTAACATTACAACTTTGAACATAAGCAACTAAATAATCATCATTCCATTTCATGACAACACAAGCAGAGATGGATGTAATGTTGAGGAGACATCGTTCGATTTCACCAAGTTCAATTCGTTGTCCATGTAGTTTGAT